CCCCCCCCCTCCCCCTCCCCCCACCCCACCAAGGACATGTAGTCATGGTGAATCTTCCTTTTTTAGGTGTTGTGAGATCATGTGGGTTTTTGAAGGTGTTGTGGCCTTCTTTGGCCGGGTGAATGTTGAGCGGTAAGGCCCTTTGACTTTGGGTGCTTCTGGTTCCTTGTTAATGCAGAATTTGTTGGTCTTTCTTGATCTTTTTGGAGCACTGGTGCTGCAAGGAGCCTTTGGAAGAAAAGGGTGGGAAATATATACCTCAACTCCTCGTGACTCCGATTTAGGTGAAGCACCAGGTCTTGACACTGCACTATTCCAGATTTTGACTTCCCATTATTGCGTACAAGCTCGAACCCCGTGGTTGTGGGGAAGTGGTATTGTCGCTTCATGTTCATTAAGGAGGGAACACCAAAAGATGAAATGAGTAGGACCAGGTTAACCGATTAATCAAACTATTAAAGTTTTAATCTATATCCCTATGATGTTTGAATTCAATCTCAGACACAGACTTTAAGCTTAAAAAAAGGCCTTTTCAGCTTATGGTGATTGAGTAATGCGTGCCGTGAACCTTCCTGGTAGGTTGTACAAAAAGCCAGTGAAATTTGATTTGATTTGATTTATTTTAGAGTACAACAATGACAAATTTGGAAGTATTTAAGCCGGACAATACTTGGCCTATGGGTTAAGATTAACAAAGCCGGACAATACTTGGTCCTCAGCACAAGGACAATTTTCTAAATTATAATTAGATTAACTTCGAATCTAGAAGAGTTTACGTGCGTTCTTAGAAGTTTGAATTCATGAACCCTATAATTAAATTAATACTCCTTGCAATCAAGCAAATTAATTACTCCTTCCTGGTCTATGCTGCAAATTCTGACTTAGCTTTGTTTGCATGACTAAAACAATGTGGTACAAGGACATTTGAAATTCTTTGAGCCGGTGTCAAGATAAGATTAATAACAGGAGAAAAATCTCCATCAGTTTATTAATTTTAAAATGAGTATTAGTTATGAACCTAGGAGTTTACGAACGTTCTCAAATGTTTGAAGTCATGAGACACAAGGAAATGCTATAAATAAATAATATATCTCTTGAATCAAATCGAAAGTGAGCTGTTCATCGTTTTCTTATTCACCATAATTCCTTTGGCAACAAGTAACGCCACCCTGTTGACACGTTGTTGACACTGGCAACATAAGAAAATTAACTCTAATATTATCAGAACAGAACAATTTTTTAAAATTAGAATTAGATTAACTATGAACGTAGGAGTTTGTGTTCTTAGAAGTTTGACTTCATGAACCTATAATTAGTCCCCAATGATCCATGGAGATTGGCATAGTTGTAATTCATCAATTGGAATAAATAAATTAATTTATTTATAATTTTTTTAATAGGTAGTTTTCATTCCATTAGAAAGTGGGAATAATGGGCATGTTATGTGTGGCCTCGTTAAAACCTTCCCTCGTTAAAACCTTCCCAGAGAAAATCACATGGGAAAAACCCTGGAGTAGGAAAGAGTACCACACATGCCGAAGAAGTACACAACTAGAAATAAATTACATAGCATCAATGAACAAAACATCCTATAGGAAATCTAGTGGATCAGTAACCCATTCCGCCACTCTCTGGGAGTACAAAGTATAGCGAGCCAAGCGAATTGCAACCCCATTAGCATTCCTCTCCGTATACCTCAAACAGACACTCTCTTGTCTGGCCAAAAGTGTTTTACAATCCTCAATTAAGCATCCTAGGTGGGACAGATCAGCTTGGCCCTGTATTTTTCTTTTATCAAATAATTGTTTTTTGGATATGTATTTCATTAGCTTGGTTGGAATTTTCAAGCTTAGCTGTCCACAAGAAGTTATAAGTTTAACTGATTATATTAAATTATAAGTTAAAATTTGTCATTGTAGAGATGAGTAATAACATACACCCCCCAACAGACAGACATTAAGCTTAAAAAAGACATTTTGGTGATTGAGAAATGCATGAACCTTTCCTGGTAGGTTCTACAAATTCCGACTTATCTTTGCTGCTTGTATTATTGTGTGTCTAAAAAGGAGCAATGGAATTTGATTTGATTTATTTAAGAGTAAAACAATGACATTTGAAGTATTTTAAGAGCCGGACAAGAAAATGAACTCTAATAATGTTGACTAAAATTTTAAGCTACACCAACAGTTTATAAATACTCTCAGTCACTAATTCCTTTGGTAACAAGTAACCCCCCACCAAAATGTATGTGACAAAGCCTGTGTCTGTGTATAGAAGGTCTCCTCAGTCACTGTTGTTGCCACCACCGGAAGGGCCAAATTTTGGTTATCTTGTTCTCCATGACGACGAATCGGTGGAGATAACATGTTGCTGATGTGGTGATGACTGGGTTAAAGACCTGCCTTTCCCTCAGAACAAGGATCTAACAGTTGGATATGGCTCGGATGAAGACGAAGTTGCATTCATCCCAGTGCTTAATCAGCCCTTATCTTCCAATAGATACCATGTGATACTTCGGAGAGGGAACCATAAAGGGTAAGCATAAATTTATAAATATTCATATGATTAATTTTCACGCGGCGCTGTTACTGTCACACTGAAATGTTCCCTATACAGTTTAATAGCGGTGTTGAGTTTAATTTGCAGGGAAGCGTGCACAAACTCAAGGGAAGAGGACATGGAGATTGACTGTTGCGGTTGTACCAATGTTCCAGATGCTAAACCAAAACCACTGGAACCATCAGATGTACACCAGCAAGTTGAGATCGTTCCTAGGGAGGGTCGTAAGGGTTTCTTTGTTGCCAAGTCTGTTGATCCAGATGGGTTTCCTCCTTCCTTCTTGAGGAGAAAAGGGTGGGCTGTGACCATGCACACACCCCGTCATTACCGATTGGGTGAAGCCTCAGGACTCAACTCCTCAGTACGAGCAAGGCTTCCGGGGTTTGATTTTCCACTATCACATGAAGCTGTGTTTGTTGGTAAGTGGTATTGTCCTTTCATGTTTGTCAAGGAAGGAGGGGTGAGGCTGAAGGACCAAATGACAAAATGCATGTTCTATGAAATTAGACTTGAGCAAAGATGGGAAAAGATTTTCGATAGCGTTAACGAAAATGTTGAAGGAAAAAATAAAGGTGCTGTGTTTGTGGATGCTTTTGTTCAAAGAGAGGTGGTTTTTTTTGGTGGAAGTGAGGCTATTTGGGATGAAAGAAATGTGAGTGGTGAAGGGTTCATGTTGTTTACGAGTTTTGATGGTGTGGGAGGAGAAACAAGTGTGGGATTGAGCATGAAAGTTGTAGAGAGAATGAAATGGGAACAAGAAAGAGTTGGATGAGTTGATGGGAATGAAAGACGAGTGAGAGTGGAGAGAGTAGAAGATTTTGGGGGGACAGGAGGCAGGTGGAAGAGATTTGGTTGTTATGTGTTGGTAGAGTGGTTTGTGTTGAAGAGAATGTCAATGAATGGAAGCTTAGCACTACTCACATATGATTTCAAGCACACACACCAGATTAGGAGCAAATGGGAATGACAGAAACTTAAACTTTGTCATTGCCATTCTCATTTGCGTTCTCATTCCACTAGCATCTACCTCTACATTTTAATTTGATTGGAACTTTCAAGAAGCTGCCCACAAGAAGTTGAAGATCAGCTGATTAATCAGATTAGCAAAGTAATTTTCATTGTAATGAGTATAGATTTGATGTATAAGTGTGCTCATTATAATATCTTCAACTTTTAGTTCTTTGCAATTAGTGTAACCTAAACTCTCAAAAATTTATCCACAAACAAACATCAAACTTGAAGACTTAATGCACCTTTCCAAACAGATGCTGCTTATTACTAAAAGACATTGAGACATTAAGCTTGTAGAGCTTGCTAGTGTAGGGTGATAAGGAAATGTGCGAACCTTCCTGGTATATGCTACAAATTCTGACTTGGCTTTGCTTTGAGCAGGAAGGACAAAATATAAGATTAAGGCATAATTAATAGTGGAAAAATCTCCATCAGGAGTTAACGTACGTTCTCAAATGTTTGAAGTCATGAAACACAAGGAAATGCTATAAATAAAAAATCACTGAAATCAAATTTTCATCAAGCAAATTGAAAGTGAGCTGCTCTTCCTTTTCTCATTCACTGTCTTCTAATTCCTTTGGCAACAAGTAACACCCAACAAAATGTATGTGACAAGGCCTCTGTCTATGTATAGAAGGTCACCTGAGTCACTGTCCTTACCACCCCCAGAGGGGCCAAATTCTGGTTATCTTGTGCTCCATGATGAAGAATCCGATGAGGTATCATGTTGTGGATGCATTGATAACCGGGTTAGAGACACGCCTTTCCCTCAGAATGAGGATCTAACAGTTGGATATGGCTCAGATGACGACCCAGTTGCATTCATTCCAGTGCTCGATCAGCCCTTGTCTTCCAACAGATACCATGTGATCCACCGGAGAGGGAGGCATAAAGGGTATATATATATATATATATATATATGCATCTTATATAAATTATTCATATGATTTATTTTCGCTCTACTGGGTCACACAGAAAAATACTGTACTTAATTTGCAGGGAAGCATGCACAAATTCAAGGGAAGAGGACATGGGGATTGGCTTCTTCAACAGACGATCTGTTCGAGATGTTAATCCAAAACCGTTGGATCCATCAGACATATATCAGCAAGTTGAGATACTTACTGGGGATAACTACTACAAGGGTAGTTTTACTGCCAAGTCTGTTGCTCCAGATGGGTTTCCTCCTAAATTCTTGAGGACAAAAGGGTGGATTGTGACCAGGCGCACACCTTATGATTACCAACTGGGTGAAGCCCCAGGGCTCAACTCTTCACTACGAGCAAGCCTTCCGGGGTTCGATTTTCCATTATCACATGATTGCTCTGAAGCTGTGTTTGTAGGCAAGTGGTATTGTCCTTTCATGTTTGTCAAGGAAGGAGGGGTGAGGCTGAAGGACCAAATGAAAAAATGCATGTTCTATGAAATTAGACTTGAGCAAAGATGGGAAAAGATTTTCGATAGTGTTAACGAAAAGGTTGAGGGGAAAAATAATGGTACTGTGTTTGTGGATGCTTTTGCTCAAAGAGAGGTGGTTTTTGTTGGTGGAAGTGAAGGTATTTGGGATGAAAGAAATGTGAGTGGTGATGGGTTCATGTGGTTTAAGAGTTTTGATGGTGTGGGAGGAGAAACAAGTGTAGGGTTGAGCATGAAAGTTGTGGAGAGAATGAAATGGGAGCAAGAGAGAGTTGGATGGGTTGGTGGAGATGAAAGGCAAGTGAGAGTGGAGAGGGTGGAGGAGTTTGGAGGGACAGGAGGCATGTGGAAGAGATTTGGTTGCTATGTGTTGGTAGAGAGGTTTGTGTTGAAGAGAATGTCTGTGAATGGAAGCCTTGCACTACTCACATATGATTTCAAGCACACACACCAGATTAGGAGCAAATGGGAATGATAAAACTTTCTACTACATTTTCCAAGATTTCATCTATATCCCATGTACATGGGATGCCACTGGTTCAATGTTACCTCTTTGATGATATAATGACTAGTCTAGAATATATACTTGAATTACTTATCACTTCAATTTAGAAAAAGAGAGTTTATAGAAAGCCATACATTGCCATTTGTAAACTAGCAAGATGATTGAAGGTTTACTTCTTGCAATCACCATTTACGTTTGATAACTACAAATCTCGAAAACTTAGATGGTTAAAGATGAACTAACAATGTATTTCAAGAAGTTAACGTTAGTCAAATGATCGAATCAGTCATTAAGACATTTTATTTTTCATATACTTAATAATAAAAACTAAAAGGATTGAGGTTTATATTCTCAACTTAATGACATTATATTTTGGATAGGTGACTGGTAATAATGGGTCTACAATGTGGAGTAATCAAACAAATCCCTTGGGAGGGATAATGAGATGATCGGTCATGATTCGATTCCCTTCAATAAAAAAAAAGTTAAAAAGAAAAAGATTAAGGGCCTCCGGGGTTAGGCCCATATAATGCGACTGAGCCCAAATAGAAATGACATTATTTGACTTGGGCTTTTGACCCAGAACTGCGTGATCTTGCCAACCCATCTTTGCGCTACGCAGTACCAACTAATTTACGCTTATGTCACTGCACCATACTAGAGTGTCGGAATCTCTCCCTATATAAGCCAGCCGCCTTCCAAACTGCAAAATCCACTTCCACCTGCTTCTCTCTCCGATTCATTTCGAGGCGGGAAAAACAAAACCTACTCATAACTGAAACATAAATTATTTAAAAACAAATATAGAAAAGTAAAAGAAAGACAGAAAGACAAAAGCTATTACTTCAACAGTTTGAATCGGATTAGGGTTTCGGTTTTGGAGTTACGATGGCGAATTTCAATATCGTCGTCGATGAAGATCAGCAATGGCTGCTCAACTGCTTGTCTGCTACTCTCGACCCTAATCACGAGGTTCGCTCATTCGCCGAAGCTTCGCTTAATCAGGCTTCTCTGCAACCAGGTCCCTCACCTGAAACCCTCGCTTTAATTTTAGCTTTCTCCTTTTCCATTGTTCCATTTTTATCTGCAATCAACACCCTTTGACGAAATTTGAATAAAATGAATTGTGGTTTGGCTTTTCTTATGCTAGGGCACAAGCTGCGCTTTAGTTTTAGTTTTAGTTTTAGTTTGATTGGTCATTTGAATTTCTAGCTGAAATGAGGAAAAATGAAAAATGAAAAATGAAAATCTATATGAATGCACCTATGAGGTTGCTGATTTGGTCGCAAATCTAGTTGGTGGAGTGAATATTTTCTTACATTCCACATTTGATTTCATTATTCTGCTTATGGATCACGGCAACACTTAGAAATTGTTTGACGGGTTCTAATTGTCTGAAGGTTTTGGAAGTGCGTTATCCAAGGTTGCTGCTAACAGGGAGCTCCCATTAGGGTTGCGCCAGATATCCTTTTTTATTGTTATGGTTCTTTATGTACCATCACGAGCTTCTATTTTTATTTTATTTTTTTAATTGTGATTCCGTATTTTATTATGCTGGATGCTTTGGTTAAATGTCTCACTGTTGCATGCAGCAGGGATTTTCTTTTTTTTCTTTCATTTATTCTCTTGTGAGGCTTAACATTCTTGTACCTAGCTGCTGTCCTTCTTAAGCAGTTTATTAAGAAACACTGGCATGAGGCTGAGGAAGCATTTGAACATCCTGCTGTTTCAAGCGACGAGAAGGTAATTTCAGCTGTTGACATCTTTGGTATTTGTACTTCTATTGAAGAGGATCCTTTTTCTTTTGGAGCAATGAGCCTGTCATGTTTCACTAATTTTAATTACCTACCTTTGTATTTGTTGCTTGTTTTTTTTTTTCTCTTTTCCCTATGTTGCTCTGGAGTTATCACTTATATGTTTACATATGTTTTTAGGGCTTACTAGTACACAAGTTTTTCTGCCTTCCTTATCTAATTAGGTCATTTTTGCATTTTCAGGCAGTTGTACGCAGACTTCTGTTGTTGTCTTTGGATGATTCTCACAGGAAAATCTGTACAGCAATTAGTATGGCTGTTGCATCTATAGCAGTTTATGACTGGCCAGAGGTTTGGCCTGACTTATTACCGTACCTAATGAAGTTGATAAATGATCAAACTAATATGAATGGAGGTAAACCTTCATTTGGCCTCTCTCTCTCTCTCTCAATTTGTAACCATACAGCACTAATTTGAAATTTCTTTCTTTCTCATAAGTTTCTCAAGTTAGTGGTATTGCCTAGGGTAGTTGTTGAAAATAAGTATCAGAAATGTCAAGTTTCTTTAAATTGTTTGTTGGGGCTGTTTTATATTTGGGAGCTTAATAAGTTTGTTGCTGATGATTTGTATTTGTTCTCAAATTTTGTAGTACATGGTGCTCTAAGGTGCTTGGCTCTTCTCTCTGTTGACTTGGATGATACAGTGGTTCCAACATTAGTACCAGCCTTGTTCCCATGCTTGCTTAAAATTGTATCATCTCCTGAGGTTGGTTTTTTATTTATTTTTATTTTTATAAATTTGTTTTCTTTTTCATTGAATTGTCATTCATTCGAGATCTTCTTAGCACCTGTGCTCCATTTTTTCAGTGGTTGCTTCTCGAAAGAAAGGGCATTAAAGTTCCTGTGTAGAATGTCTGTTATGTGAGCCTGTGTGAATATTTCCATGTTCTTGTACACATAAACTGTGGTTTCTGAAATTTTTTCAGGAGGAAACAGTTTTCACGAAATTTGAGGCACTTTTCAGTACTGAGTTGTTACCAATTTGAGATGTTTCGGAGAGATTTATATTCATGTCCACATGCATTTTTGTTGCAAATTTTTTGGGGGTTTCATATATGTCTTCTCATGAATGGACCTAAGCTATCTTATGCTTTATATCTTTTTGGCTGCTCGCCTCCCTTGACTCGTATCATGAGGGACAGATAGTGCTTCCTGTTTTATATATACAGACGTCAAATTTGTGGATTTTTGGTTTCTTGAATACAAGCATCCTTCCATTTATTCTGTGCTTTGATGTGAGATTTGTTTGTGCAGATGTATGACAAATATTTACGCACAAAAGCTCTTTCAATTGTTTATTCTTGTATCTCCATGTTGGGGGTGATGAGTGGTGTATATAAGGTATTCTCTTGTCTATTCTATTTAACTTCCCAGGATATGATGTGTGGTATATTAAGCTTCTTCTATTATGAATTAACAGATTAAGATGTTTATGTTCAGACGGAAACCAGTGCATTAATAGTGCCAATGGTTAAGCCATGGATGGTTCAATTCTCTAAAATCCTCAATCATCCACTGCAGTCTGAAGATCCCGATGATTGGAGCATAAGAACAGAGGTTGCTTTGTTTGTTTGATAAAAAATCTGTCATGATGTGTATACTCTGTAATTAGAATGGGGCATTTGATTTGTGGTTTATTTGTGCCTTTATCATTAGGTATTGAAGTGCTTGAATCAGTTTGTTCAGAACTTTCCCAGCCTCATTGAAAGTGAATTTATGAGTAAGTTATTCATTCTTGTCAACCAATGAATCAGACGTAAACCATATAGATTCTTGTTCTGCTCATTGATAAGTCTAGTTTTCATATATTGTGCTGAATAGACCTTGTTTATTGCAGTTATTGTAGGACCATTGTGGCAAACCTTTATGACTTCTCTTGGAGTATATGTGCGATCATCTATTGAAGGTACAGAAGATCCATTTGATGGAAGATATGATTCTGATGGGGCTGAGAAAAGCCTTGATTCCTTTGTTGTCCAGGTAGTTAATCTATGGCATTTGCAGATATTATGTTATGCCCTTGTACACCGCTCAAAATGACCTCTCTCTCTCTCTCTTCCCCTCTCTTTCCTCTTCTTTTAGTGTGCGGATATTTGTCCCTAACTTAAATGTTTTGCATACATAGTTGTTTGAGTTTCTGTTGACCATTGTGGGTAGCGCAAAATTGGTAAAGGTATGCTTCAAAGATTTTGAAACCCATTTCTACTTGTTTCCTTCCTTATAGCCTACCTTCTTTTATCGTAGTAAGGTCCCTTTGCTCCCCTTTTCTTGTAGGTCATTATGAATAATGTGGAAGAGTTGACATATTACACCATCGCTTTTCTCCAAATAACAGAACAACAGGTAGGTTTTTGCTTTGCTCTTCTTTTGTCTGTTCCTTGTTTGTACATCTTATGTAATGGACTGAGTGGTCCAGCAGAAAAGGTGTTCAATTTGTTCATATTCAGATCATAGTGTTAATGAACTCCTAATTCTATTGCTTGAAAATTAAACACCTTAATGGTCCTAAATTCTCTTTGCACAGAATAACTGAACATAAAATTGTCTCTGTATTTCATTAAAATGTCTCTCTTGTCTGTATTTCATAAAGACATTAACATGGATATGGACTTCTTGTTTAGCTCCTATTGTTGTTCCTTCTCTATAATAAATACTTTTGTCTTATCCAAAAGAAAAATGATCTCACTTACCTTCACATTCTAAATCTACTTTTCTGTCTTGTTTAACTTGTGGTTATCATCATCGCTCTGGTTTTCTAGACTTCCATTTTCCAATGATCATTTCCTTTGACTCCAAACTGTATCACATCCTCAGGCACCTTAATTTGATTTTGGCATTTCAGTTCCTTTCATCAAGATTTCTCTTTATTTGACCCTACCATGTAATCCACCTTCATCAAGATGGCTCTCTATTTCGCTATGTGAGACTAAACACTGAAACCCACTTAATTCATTATAATTATTTAACTCATATGTGCCCCTAAGTTGTCATCTTATTTAATGCCTTCTTTCTTTTTTCTTTTTCCTCGCCAAGGACATAATTCCTCCTCTAGTATTATAAATTATATTTGAAATCTCATGTCTTCTTGTGCTATTATAACCTTCAGTTGAATGATTTTTATTTCTAGTATCATTTGTTGTTTCTTAATTGTCATTTTTTATAGGTTCATACTTGGTCAATGGATGCCAACCAATTTGTAGCTGATGAGGATGATGTTACTTATAGCTGTCGTGTTTCTGGTATGCTTACATTATGCATCTCACATGCTTGTTAATTCTTCTTATGGCAACCATAACTTTGTGGTCTGAAGATTGGAGTTTACAGCATGGGTCAATTTGTTAGTTGGAACATCATAAGTGCAAATTATGTTGAATTTAGAGGAAAACAATGAACTTATCATGAAATTGAACTGATATGGCATATATCTATGAACAATAAGTCTGTCCAGAAAGCATCTGGTTTTATCATCCTAATTGAAAATCAGTATGCCAACAGTTTCCAAAAGTTTGAAAACTAACTCATTTTTGGATGGAGAAAGACCATTATACCCTCATCTTGATCAATGTCTACCCATGCAAAAAGGGTTAGTCTTCTAACTTCGGAAAAAAGTAGTCATTTTTGGATAATGATTTTTATTTTGAGTCATTTCACCCTAAAACTCAGCATTTTGGCAGAACCCAGACCTAGGAATACCACCTTCCCACTCCACCCCAATGCCACTTGAGCTAGAACTCATGGGTAGCGGAACGATTACAGATGATGAGGGGTGTAATCTGTGTGTGTGTGATTCTAGCAATAATAGTTGTTGATTTGTAACCTTCAATATGCCATGCGCTCTTCTCCTTTCCTTTTGAAGATTATAATTTTGAATTTATTGTAAAAATTTATTGCTCTGTATTTGCTTGCTTGTTAAGCATAGCATGTTCTGCAGTGGGCCTCAGAGAATTCTTGGCAATCTAAGAGAAGTTGAATATGTGATTGTACAGATCATTTGACTGCATCTCACTGTTATCAGCTTTAGAAGTGGAATGACATGTTTCTTCTGATGTACTTGAGCTTTTAATAGCACTTTTTCTTTCCAGGTGCACTTTTGCTTGAAGAAGTGGTGAATTCATGTGGTACAGAAGGAATCAGCGCCATCATTGAGGCTGCAAAAAAGCGTTTTAGTGAGTCTCAAAGAGAAAAGGATGCTGGTTCTCCAATTTGGTGGAGAGTAAGTAGAAATTTTTCCCTATTTTTGTTCAGTTTTCTCCTCTGTTAACTTTCCCCCCTTCTTTTGGGTTGTATGTACTATCAGATAAGGGAGGCTACTCTTTTTGCTTTGGCTTCTCTATCAGAACAATTGCTTGAAGCAGAGGTTTGTGCTTTTTTGTTTGTTTTGAAGGGGTAGTTATTGTGTTTTGTTAAGGTTCTGATGCTTGGCGCAGCTTCTTTTCTTCATGAATGTTATGCAATTCCTATTTGGAAGTTGGTATACTATGATTAATTTTAGATTACAGGATTCAGAACTGACAAGAGTTGGCTCAGGAAACCTACTGGAGCAAATAATCACGGAAGACATTGGATTAGGTTATCTCTTCTCTGCAATAACCCTCCTCTCCCCTTTTTTGTCTTAAAAAAAGAGAAAAAAATAAAAGGTTCATTTCATTCATCAGTGAATACTTTCTGTTTTGCAGATGTACATCAATATCCCTTTCTTTATTCTCGTATCTTTTCATCAGTTGCTAAATTCTCCTCAGTGGTAACTATTGCAATATTTCCTTATCTATTTTAAAGTTAGATAATTTGGAAATATCTTTATAACATTTCTAATATTTTACAGATCAGCCATGGAGTTCTTGAGCACTTTCTCTATGCTGCTATCAAAGCAATTAGCATGGATGTGTAACTCTCTCCCTCTCTGATATATGTATGTACATGAGTAACTTGTATCAAATATATATTTTCTTGACATTGTTCTGTTGTCAGGCCCCCACCTGTCAAAGTAGGTGCCTGCAGGGCTCTTTCTGAGCTCCTACCTGAAACAAATAAAGTTATAATTCACCCGCATCTGATGAGTTTGTTTCAATCACTGTCAGATCTTCTTAATCAGGTAATTTACAGCTAGCATAAACCTTAGTTTTATTGTTGTACTTGTTTTAAGAATGTACTATAATTCTGGTTTCAGGCATCTGATGAAACCTTGCACTTGGTACTTGAAACACTGCAAGAGGCAATTAAGGCCGGTAAGTTTTAAAGGTAGTATGAATATTATCATTTCCTTTTATCTTGATGGAGTTGGATGAATTTGTAAGCTTGCTATATATTATATTTTGTCCTTTTATTGTATCCTCTTTTTACATTTAATAGGTTGTCTGTCTCCATGCTTTGTTTTACACTAATGATAGGTTACGAATTATCGGCATCAATAGAGCCTATCATCTCTCCTGTTGTCCTGAACATGTGGGCATCACACATTTCCGATCCTTTTATCTGTATTGATGCAATTGAAGTTATGGAGGTAATTATGTGGAGCATTGTTGGTAATAACATATTTAAATGCCCACTTACAATGTTTGAGTGTACATACAAACATTTCACTTATATATTACAATTAATCATGCGGATTGGGTGGTCGATTAGTTAAATGATTTTCATGATCTACTTTTTAAATTAACTGTACTGTTGTTTTTTAATTAACTTACTCCAGACACTGAAGAATGCTCCTGGTTGTATTCGTCCACTGGTTTCTCGAGTTTTACCATATGTTTGGCCAGTCCTGAATAAAGTATGGCTTGTAAGAGTATCTGTAATATGGATTTATATTCTCATTGTGTTTTTTTTGGTGGGTTGTGAGGGGAAAAGTATTTATTTTTGATGCATCTTGATGGTAATTTTCAGCCCCAACAGCAGCCTGATGGATTAGTAGCTGGATCAGTGGATCTTGTAACAATGTTATTGAAAGTGAGATATACTTCAGTGGATATTCATCCCTTATTTTCCTCAGCTCTTAGCATTCCTGTTTTATCTTTAGACAGCATCTTGGTTGTATTACCACAGTTTTAATTAAAGTTTGCGATAGCGTTGGTGCAGAATGCTCCTATTGATGTGGTGAAAACAGTATATGATGCCTGTTTTGATAGTGTTATACGAATAGTCCTTCAAAGTGACGATCACAGTGAAATGCAGGTAATCTTCTACTCTTCTATCTCTCTCTCTCTCTCTCTCTCTCTCTCCCCCATAACTAAGTTTGAAGCTCCACTACATATCTAATGTATGTCAATGACTCAAGTTTGTTGTGACGACTTTGGCCAGAATGCAACGGAATGTTTAGCTGCTTTTGTATCTGGTGGAAGACAAGATGTGCTTGCTTGGAGTGCTGATTTAGAAAATACAATGAGAAGATTGCTTGATGCGGCATCAAGGTAACCAGCTTCTTTTTCAAACTGCATTTTTGTGTTTCATAATGTCTTGCGAACTCTTGTTTAGTTCTTTGGTTCAAATTTGCCATGGGCTTAGTGGTCTCAACTGGAAATGGAGTGCTGATGGGTACTTGTAGTCCCTTCCTCAAAATCTCTGTTAGTGGGGGGCCTGTTTTGTTTTTATTTTCATGACATTTTCTTTGAGGCCATTCTTGTTTGGAGGTTAATAAAGCCAATGCGTACTTTTTCACCATTGTGATGGATTCAACTGATGATGCTCTGCAAGTTTCTGCTTTATATGAAAATTACATGTTTTCTTGCATGCTGAAAATAAGTCAGGTTCTGATGATATTCCATATATACTTTCGGATTCCATTTTGGTAGAGCATTGAATTTATATTGTTTTTAAAGAGTGATTGATCATCACAATAATATCCGTAGGATTTTTGTGGACACTAGTTACTAAAAGCTGGATGTTTCAAAACTGAGTGCAGGCTTCTAGACCCTGATTTGGATAGCTCTGGTTCTCTTTTTGTTGGGAGCTACATTCTGCAACTTATTTTGCATCTGCCATCACAGATGGCACCCCATATTCGAGACCTGGTTGCTGCTCTTATTAGGCGCATGCAATCTGCTCAAATAGCAGGATTGAGAAGCTCACTGCTACTCATTTTTGCTCGATTGGTATGTATCTCAACTGTTCATCTTTGTGAGTTCCTTTGGTGGCCACTTTTTAGCTTATTGTGACACACTTTTATATAGTTTTATTTGATGCTTTAATGATGTCAAGTAGAATTATAGTTCATGTATAAACTTTTGTCCTTTGAAGGTTTCACTTATTTTATCCCTAGTGCATAACCAGATTTTACATTGTGAATATCCTACAGTCAATTTCATATACCGTGCTTATTTCCCAATGCGAGTACTTCTTTAGTCAGTTAATCTTTCCAGCTTCTACCTTACTAAAGTCTTCCTCATCTTTACTTTGCATTTTATGTTATATTTTAGCTGGTCTAGTATGGATCAGGCATAACTAGCCTTACCTTATATGGATTAATTTTTTAATTTTGTATTTAATAGGTCCACTTGAGTGCCCCTAAAGTTGAACAGTTTATTGACCTCCTGGTCACCATCCCAGCTGAAGGCTATGATAATTCTTTCGTCTATTTAATGTCAGAATGGACTCAGCAGCAAGGTATGTTTTTCATATTATTGTTTACTTGTCAATGTCATATAATTGGAGCTGGATCAAAATGCAAATTTGGACTGGAATTCTCTGATTGATGCAACATATGATTTATTAAATGTAATTGCTCAAACCCAATCCTTTCCCCAGCAAAAAGTTGCATCTTATCTTATCTTCAGCACAAATTTGTACTCTTGGGTTATAGATTAAAGATGAGTTTTTGAATTGGGTGTAATATCAAGGGGTGGCTAAGTGACAACATAATCAAAATCCAATGTGTATGGCTAAGTAACATCTAATACGATTACAATTATTTAATATTTTCACTTAGTAGTTAGCAGAAGAGGCTTTGAGCATACACATGTGCAATCATTTAATCTGTATTTGTATCTTGTTTAAATAAAATTTTATCTGAGCCTTTCAATGTTCTGAAGAGGCCAAGACTTGTTAGAGGCTATGTGAGAGTGTGATATAAGATATTTCTCCACATGTTAACTGAGTGCAGGTGAGATCCAGGGGGCTTACCAAATTAAAGTCACTACTACTGCTTTGGCCTTATTACTATCATCTAGGCATGCTGAATTAGCAAAAATTAACGTGCAAGGATATTTATTTCAGGTTCTACTGAAACTTTTTAATTTCGTGCACATGTTTATTTTCTCAAATGCGCTTGTTGATTCAAGAACTTGCTCTTCTTGCTTTTCTAAAGTCTGCTGCTGGAATAACCACTCGTTCAAAAGCTAAATTCACTCCAGATCAGTGGACTGTGGTGCCACTTCCTGCAAAGGTAATTTTTTTTTTTTTCTGACAAACAGAAGATTAATTTGGAGCTGAGAAAGTTGTGACTGTACAGGACTTTGCTATGCTAGAGTTGTCATAGCAAGCAACTTTTGCATGGCCTAAGTACCATGACGGTTATATATGGTGCCTAGTCCCCTAGGGGAAGCTTTAAAGGCAGACTTTCTTTTGTCTCCTAATAATTATGTTTCAGTGTAACCTTATATTGGTTAGTGCATGATTTTGCCTGGCTTGATGACTTTAGCCATTCTACAAGGAAGTTTGTCATTAACTCTTGTGCTTTCTGCAACCTTCAGGTTCAGTTTTAGAAGCCTTTTCTCATTCCCCTGCCCCTTTTTGTGTGTGCAGATAATGGCTTTATTGGCAGATGCATTGGTTGAAATCCAAGAACAGGTTGTAGCTGGTGATAATGAGGTAATTAATCATTTGCAAAAGATTACTTGGGTAACAATAAACTTTAATCTTTGAACCAATTCCTGATGCAGGATAGTGACTGGGAAGAGGTTGAGGCAGACGATGTGGAACTTGATAAGGACTTGATGTATTCAGCTGGTGTTACATCCTCCGGCAGACCCTCACACCAACATCTTGAAGCAATAGCAAAAGCATTTAATAAGGTACTTTGTTGTTACTTGTATATTATTGAAATTCCTCGGGATAACTTACCAAACTTAGCATGTTCTGAAAGGATGAGGAGGAGGATAGGTATGAAGATGATCAACTAACTGTGGCTGATCCCCTTAACCAGGTATCTTGTGGACCTATTTACATTTGCTAAGCATCATAAGTCATTTTAAATATATTAACTATTTCAAAACACCTTACAGATTAATCTGGCGAACTATCTTGCGGAGTTTTTTGTAAACTTTTCTCAGAGTGAAAGACAAATGTTTGATCATATTTTCCAGGTGAACTTCAATAATCCATTTCATTCCGATTCAATCAGTCGAAAGCATTTACTAAAAGTGATTCAATTTTTGTACCCAAAGAAAAGTGAATTTGACTCTCCTTTGATCTGGTGTAGTTATGCATGAAGGCTGAGAATGTAATATCTTGTATTTTTTTCAACTGCAGAGCCTGACGCAGGATCAAAGGAATGCTATTCAAATGGTACGAGCTCTGTGAAGATTTTAGTGGATGTGTTAAGGTTGGATTGTTTGCTCCTAAGCCAGCCATCGTCCAATTGTTTTCATAAAGGAAAAGATTATTAACCCCGAAGAAAGGGAAGGAAAAAAAAGAATATGTATTTCAAGCTAAGGTCGCTCCTGAGGATATGACTGCCTGCCTTTGGAAGTCTCGTTTCTGTATCGTTTATGCCTTTGGAAGTCTCGTTTCTGTGTCGTTTATCAAATCTCAGTTATAAATGCCGAGGCCATTCAATACAAATTTTTCGAGTGCAGTTGATCAGTAGCCACAATGCAGAATTATATAGAGCCGTGTATTTGTTTGATTTGTTGTGAATATTGAGGAAAACAATAATTAATTCCAATCAAGAGCATGAACATTGTACCTCTACTTTCGACAGAAAAAACACACACATATATAGTATTCTTCATTGTGGGAAAAAACGAGAATTGCATATATTTGGTAATAGATGATGGTGAAAAATAACATTTATAGCTAGCAATTTATGTAATATTAGGCCATCGATCCAACTCATTTTAAGGGTACAATACTATCTTCATAACTAGTAATTAAATTAATATCATACATCCTTTGACTATCAGGAAAAACAAAACTAATTATTCTAAATTGTTTGGTCTTCACATCATAAAGAAGCAATTGGGGTGGACCGGTGTCAAAACCCGGTTTAAGTCCATTTAAATAGTGAACGAGCGCAAGCTGACCTGTGTGAATTGTACCCAGAGCTTGAACGTAGCACCCATTTTCTCCATATGTTTCTTTCAACATCAAACTAACAGTCTCCTTAACCCACGCATGGTTTTGATAGTCCTTCAAAATCCATAACACGATCTTGTCCTGTTTCCACGACTTGTCTACAAACACACCCACGCATTCCCCCCACCTCAACCACAGCTGCACTTTGTAGGCAATAAGAATCGGCAACACTTCCATAACGATAGAGATTATTATCTTGATCAACATAATCATCAAACACTTGAGCATAATCTTGGGGTATGGCAACACTCTGAATGTCTCCTCTCTAACGTCAAAAGCCACTATCACTTTCTGCTTCTCATGGAGCCAATGTACGACCCCATTGATACCCACTCCACTGCCTAACTCCTCCAGAAGGTCGCTGTGTTGGTCTACCCGCAATGGCCTCCACGAAGAATCTGTACCTATTGTGAATATGTTCAACAACCCAATATCCAATTTTCCAAGTCCACTGGGATTAACTTTAATGATCTGCAGAACCTTATACTCGTTTGTGAGTGGACTGAACCCAAAGTAATATTGAGCGAATGGAGACACTCCTTCTGTTTGTACAAGCACATCGGTATGGGGAAGTTCGATGGACTCTCGAGTGGTAGGGTTAAGTACGGAAACAGGGTCGTCAAACATAGTGGACGCACAAACCAAGCCATGAACACTCTGCACACCATTACATAACTCTTTGAAAGCTTTGCACTGAGTCAGGTATGAAAGTTCGGCGAGGGGTTTTGGAGCATTCTCTTGTTGCTCTATTTTTGTCGAGAAGTAGCGGTTATCCTTATGGAGGCTACGCTTTTTGAAAAGGAAGTGAGTGGTGCGCTTGTCGTTGCAGTGAAAGTTGTGGAAGGTGGCGACAAAGGAATGCGGATGAGGGAGGACCAAGACTTGCATACGCACCTGCATCGCATCATCAGATCCTCTGGCGGAAGCCGTGGGAGTATATGAGAGAATATGATTTCGGTTGGGAGCTCCGGGATTGGATGGTCATGATAAGCTTCCATGTTCCCTAGACAACTTTCTCTGGCCCGTCGAAAGACCTCCAAGAGAACAGATGATTCCAAGAAGAAGAAAACAAGAGATGCGATGAGCTAGGGTTTCCCTGCTAATTTAGACGTATATACATGGGCTACTTATTTGTTCTGGGTCACGATTTTGGACTGCCTAGTATTAATAGGAAAATAGAAGTGCCCAAAAGAGGAAGAATCCTAATCATATATAAATTAGTACCGGATTTTATTCCAAAAAACTATTGGATTTGATCTTATCTATATATATAAAGCAAAAGGCAGAGAATGGTGAAATATTCAAAATACCAGAAAATGCCCTTGGTTAATGCAAATATTAAGAATTGAAATTATTAATTAAATGAGGATAATATGGTAAATTCACACTTTTTAATATTTAAAAAAATTAAAATGAAAAGAAAAATAAGATAATGGATCCTCCTTTAAGGAACACAACTACCCATTATCTTTTTTTAAATCTGAAATAAATTTAATTTAAAAAAAAAAAAAAATGCATCCCGCAGGCGCCGAAGCGCATGGGAAAGGCTAGTTTAAATTAATGAGAAAGCACATGAGAGGTTTGTGCTTTTTTGTTTGTTTTGAAGGGGTACGTAGTTTTTGTGTTTTGTTAAGGTTCTGATGAGCTTGGCGCAGCTCCTTTTCTTCATGAATGTTATTCCTATCTCCCTACTTTGTTTTACACTAATGATAGGTTACGAATTATCGGCATCAATAGAGCCTATTGTGGGAACTGAATTAATTCGTAACCCTAGGTCAAATAATTCCTTCCATTTGGGGATTATTTGACCTAATTGGGAATTATTCAATTTAATTGGGGATTACCCAATTAAATAGAATGTTACCTAATTAGGTTGAGGATTGATTTGATTCTTACAAATATTCTCAATTAATGGAGGAGTTACCTAATTAAATTAGGTATTGATTTGATTGCTACCCTGATTAGGGATTTGATTTAAATCAAATAAATCAAATCCCTAATTAGTCAAATCTCGCCAAATTGGGGAGGAATAATTTCCTTCCATCTACGGAATTATTCCTCTGAAACCTTAGCCCCCGAAACCTCTGTAAAAGGATGGCCACACACAAGGGTTGAGGTACGTCTAAACTCCTACTGAAACTCTGCAGAAATTATCTCTCAGAAACCCTAGCCCCCTCCTTTCTCTCCCTCTTTTACATAAGGTTCCGGCCGCCCGGTTCATCCCAAAACACATATAACTCCGTACCCTAGTTAGCTAGTGTTTTCTTTACAAAACTCTTGAACTAATTTAGGCATCGGAGGGCCTTTGGCCAACACCCCCCGGGTGTGGTCCTCTTATTGCTATTCGTTTTGCAGGGAGAAAGAGAGGCGGAGAAGACGAAGGAATCTTTCAACCGAATATTCTCGCGGGAGGAAATTTGCTCCCACACCTATCATCTCTCCTGTTGTCCTTAACATTTCCAATCCTTTTATCGGTACTGTATTGATGCAATTGAAGTTCTGGAGATAATTATATGTGGAGCATAAATCTTTGTTTGAAATTATTGTTCTAGTTGGCAAAGAGATTACAAAATCGCCATCTTGCATTTTTGTTAAAAAGTAAGAAATAATCTTAGCCTCTTACATTCATTCATAGTATCTAAAATACAGAGCGAGAAAAAATACGAATAAAATAAGTAGGTGTTTTATGCGGCATAATTTTGGAAAATTACAACTTAAAAGTTCGGCCACTATATAATTTTTTCAATATATATTACTTTTATTCAATAATATGTAAGAATTATGTGTATAAAACGTGAATTTTGTGTGTATTATTGAAAATTTTGAAAAAATACGTGTATTAAACATGAAAAATATGACAGGACCTGCCCTGAATTTCTCGGAATCCGGAACGAATCCTGTGAAAGTTGGCATCGAACCGATGCCGGGCCCACTTACTAATGACTGAGACTTTCTGCCGAAATTTCGACAGAGTCTCCCCTGAAAATTGGACATTTCCCAAATTTCTCAACCTGTTAAAAACACAATTAATATCCCAACAGGTAGCATGCATCAGATACAATCAAGCAATTTACATCAAAGGCCTTCGGCCTTACAATCAAACCTTAACACGGGCGATAACAGAGCAAAACTAACAGAATTCGGTTTACAAAACGAAACGAAGTTCAGCATACGTAAAGATAACTAAAGATTGCCCTATGGGAAGTCGGGGCTCTGAAGTTCCGGCTCGGCTCTACCGCTCAGCTCAGTCCACTACTGTCTAGGGGGCGCAAAACAGAAAAGTGTGAGTGGACAAAAACAAAGTTTAGTTCACAGTTGAAACCAACATAAGATAACCCCGCCGTGTAGAAACTTAGAAAACGATGCTGAAAACCATATGCATTCAAACCATCATGGGTATACATAAATATAAAGTTTGGTTAAAACCATAACAAAATTCGAAATCGCAAAATGATAATTTGTTTCTTATCCCATTCAAACATTTCATACTATTCCTAAACCATTCTCTCGAGACTCGTGCCCGTTGGCACGGCGAGCGAGGAAGTGTCCTCACCGACAGATAATAATAAAAGAATAGTTATATATATGTATATAATATGAAATATATAATATATAAATAAATATATAAGTATGACACACCTAGTTTGTACCAGGGAAACAATCAAACCGGGGATTGTTTGACTAGTCCACATGGAAGAATCCTCAATTGACCATGTGGCTAGGGAATGAGCCGTCCAATTGGGACTAAGCTCTCCAGCACGTACATCAGAATCCTCAATACTCGTACGCCTATGACAAGTCCTACGCGAGCAGACTAACCCCGCTAAGGGTCTACGAAACACCCCGTCAAAGGTGCCCGGGTTCCAACATATCCAAGTATCTCAAATTCTAAATATCCGGGGAGGTACATAGGGTAGTGTGTATAACACTTCAAACTGACATTCTATAATCCAATTTATTTCCATAATCTCATATCAACACCCCAAGTACCCCACACATAACCAAACATAGATACTCCAATATGCCAAAATCCAAATATATTGCAAAAAATTTACAAAAATATTAAGTTCAATCATTGAATATAAAATATATTCAATAAACCATTAAATCAATATGCATAATTTTTCCATCGTAAAACCATGCTTATTATTTGAAAACAAAGTCCACTCACAAATAGTCTCACGAACGAGAACTTTAAATAAAATTCTAGTTTTCTGGAAATTCAAGTGTGTCCAAAGAACGAGATATCCTAAAGTTCAATTACATGTTTCGGATGACGGGATAGCCTCGGAAGATGCTCAGTCAACCGTGCGGTCAAACTTTCTATAATGGGTCAGGTGGGCCCACAATGATCGAGAAGAATTCTACATGGGATATGGTTAACAGACCTGGTAACAAACCAGTTGTGGGTGTGAGATGGATCTTCAAGACAAAGCTGAATCTTGATGGTTCTATCCAAAATCACAAGGCACGGCTTGTAGTGAAAGGATACACACAGAAGCCAGGAGTAGATTTGAATGAAACTTTTGCTCCAATGGCAAGATTGGATACAATTAGAACTCTAATTTCTCTGACTACTCAAAGGAATTGGAAACTTTTCCAATTGGATGTGAAATCAGCATTCTAAATGGAGTGTTGAAGGAGAAAGTTTACATCGAGCAACCTGAAGGTTTTGAAGTTAAGGGAGCAGAAGACAAGGTTTATAAGTTTAAGAAGGCTCTTTATGGCTTGAAGCAGGCACCAAGGGTCATGTCATGGAAATTGGCTGGAATTCTTGGGTTGATAAAGAAAGTATGAAAAAGAGGGTAATGGGAAGGATCTTTTGTGTAGTTGAGTCTAACTCTTGGCAGGTCCCAGGTCTCAGGGATCCCACAGTGCACATGATTTTTATTGGGTGATTCGGGACTAGCGATAGGGAGTTAGACAAGATGACTAACAAACAAAAGGGGAAATTTTGGGATGATTGAGATGGGTGTTAGTTCATATAAATGGGCATTCGGGACCAAGTGGTATAAGCATGGTATGGGACGTGCAAGTCTGCTTGTCCAATTATATGAATTAGCGGGAGTAGATGAAGAGCATTCATTCATGCGTTATTATTATTAATGTGATATTTGGCTGTGTGATTGCATGTCACTTAATTTAGTTATATCAATATACTGTGGTAAGGTCTCATGTCCTTGCTGAGCGGTGGTTGTTCATCCCTCACCCTATTTAATTTTTCAGATGAATTAGTAGGCAATACAAGGACTAAACCAGTTGAGGATGAATTAGATGAGAGTGATAGAGCTTTATTGATTTCATGTAAAATTGTAAGATTTTGGGATCTATTTTTTTATAAGAAAAGTTTATTTTCTGTTTCGGCTTCTTTTTATTTTATTTTATTTTATTTTCTCAAGCACCAGACGCGGGGTTTCCACCGATCCCCGGGTCCGTGGCGTGACAGCTTTAAACCTCTTCACATCCCTCCGTGAATTGAGCATTCAAAATTGCAAGAAATTATAAAGTTTGGTGAGTAGTGGGCTCGTCGACTCTGATGTGAGTTGCATATAAATAGTTGTAGTGGTCTACAATCTATTCCAGCTTTAAACTTCTTCATATCCCTTCGTCAACTGATCATTAAAGATTGGAGATTACAAAGTTTGGTGAGTAGTGGCCTACAACTGCTCGCCTCTCTTGTGGAGTTGAAAATAAGAGATGCCCCTAATTTAGAGAGTCTTCCAAGTTTAGACTCCCTAATGCTTTGGAGCTTAGTTAGCGACTACCCAATTCTTGTCTAGGAAATATTTTTGTCACCACTTTAATCCAAGGTGTATCCTCACTATCCTTCTTAACACATGTCCATAAACATAACTATGGTTAATATTTTACTTTGTATTATGTAACCACTGTTATGCATA